CTTAACCCAACTAGGTCACGCCTATTTCGATTGACAGCTATTCATAAATAAGACTGCTAAGGGAGTTATTTGTATCTCTACTAAGGCTTCTAGAAAGGCTTAGCTACTTAATTTGCGTTAGTAATATGATAAATAATGAAATTCTGATTTGATAATGACATAATTAATGCACAATTAAATTTCAGGTAGAATAAAGTTTGCAAATTAAAACAAACATGAGCGTTAGGAAAAAAGAGAATGTGAGCATACTAGAGATAAGATTTCGGCGGGATCTGACGTCACCTACAAATAGTAATCTAATTTTGTACCTGACGCTAAGCCCTAGAGAAGCTCAAACTTAAAGAATCTGATATTTCTTTCTAATCAACCACAAAGCAGACGATACAGTCAGATAGTTTCACAGGACCGAGTAGATTATGGACGAAAAAATGATAATGAAAATGATGGGCAAAAAGTATATTAAATGCTAAACCTGAACGATTTCGTGCTTTGTCCTATCTATGATCTGGTAAATGCAGCTGGACATAACTTCACAAGTGGAGCCTCAAGATATGGAGGCCGTTTATTCAGAGATTATTCTTGCTTGCTGACACTTAGACAAAATTGCGAGTCTCGAATTCGTTGCATAATATTGGCTCGAAATAGGCTCGTTGTAGCAAATAGATTTGAGCGTCAGGGAGACCAAGTGAAACCTATCTACTATGTTTTCTCTGTCATAGTATTCGTGAACTCCAGTATCGGCCCAACCAAAACTATAAAGCTGAAGGAGCTTGCGAGCAAACAGAAGGCCTAGTTATGCTAAGCATGTTCATCCCATGGGATGTTTGTGCAAAATTGTGATGTATATTTTTTCCTAACGTTAGTTGCTTTCAGTATGGAAGTACCAATTCAGTATGGAGTGAATGTGAAAAGATTGTTAGCATGAAAGGGTTTTGTCAATTAATTTAGTTTCTTTTTATGAGAGAGCCAATATTTTTAATTATCTTCCCTAAGAATATACTATTTTAACCAAAGTTGATGAGGAAAATTTAAATTTAAATTATATTAAAAAGACAAATTTCTAGAATGCTGTAAGCAGCCATGTTTATTAGCTTTCAAATAGTTTTCTACGAACTAATATTATTTTTTTCTTAGCTCAACAAATTAGGAAGCAAATGGCAGTGCAGAAAGTAAAGAGCTAAGCTAATTTTTAGAGTGTACTGGAATCGAAATTTCGATGCTGACAGACGACATATTGAGTTGTACTCATACCTGAAATCAAAATTATTATTCCTGCCCCACTCCTCCAAGTTAAGTTGCCAATTCTAATCAGCTTTAGGGCAATCAAATAAATTCGCATGTAATTGTGGTGACGAGTACATTAGTAGAGATGAAGGCAAATTAACCTGAGCGAATGCGTGAGAATTTCCCAAATGGCCAAACCTCGATAGGCTTGGCGTACCAGATTGCGCCATTATTAAGAACTTGCTACAATTAGAACATCCCTTCTCTCTGTTGGAAAGAGCTTAAAGAAGTGGCCAGACTAGGCTTCTGTTTAACGACCTCAATGTTGGAAAGGCTTTTATTTCGTATGAAAATACCTGATGAAGAGACGCATAGGTTGATGGCACCAGAAGACGACGGCCGATTCCGGTTACCATGTCGTCGTTTGGCACGACTGACGCACTCCAAGAGATATCCTCTAATTTCGGATGAAAACGAGGTGAGCTTGTATTCAACATATGACCAACATTGTCCGAGTTGGGATTTATTCTTGAAAAAGTCTGAAGTTACTTGCCAATTTGATAAGTTGATGGCGCCTCTCACTGACGATGCCGGCGAAACGTTTCGGAATGAACCAAGTCAAAGGTCCGATGCTGGAAATTACGAATACTACAACAGAGGACACGGGGCTAGATACGTTCCACAAGGTTGCGCTGAAACTCCCACCAAGGTCTAACTAAAACTATAAAGCTAAAAGAGTCTGTGTCCAAACAGAAGGACACACCGTCCTGGTCTTACATCTACAGTCTAAAGGTAACTGTATGTCAAGAAGACTGTCAGGCTCTATCCTAGATTTTATACATAGTCAGAAATATAAACTAAATCTATAGGTTTATATAGATAGATATAGGCTGATTTGGTCAGTCCTTTTTCTTAGTAGCCATGGTATTTTCACACAACTAGGTCTGTCTCTGTGTGTATGTTTATGTTTGTTTACTTTTGTCCTAATCAGAGTAATTACAAAAGCCTAACATCAGGTTTGTGTCATCAAGGCATAATGACCCAAGAAAGAGCATGACTAAGTTTGCGTAAGTCCTTAAGTAACTATGCCTAAGATGATGATAGGTAAGCTTGTGTGCATGTAAGTCAGGTTACGAATTCAACCGTCATAATTCATCAGTCTAAAGTCACTATAATTTAATGAGTCAAGGAGAGACTTAAATGTGATTCCGTAATCTCGTATGTCTGGTTTGGTTGATGAGCCTAATTTGCATTTTGGACAATTGTGAGTGAAATTATAATCATCATTGAGCTTCTTCAAACAACCATAAGTAGTTCCTACTCAACTTTATACCACCATTCCTCATATTCGACGTATCACTTTCATTCGTCGCTATCATCTTCTCTGCAGTGGCAAACCTAAAGCAATCTGCAAACCAATGCGTTTGAGAATGTTCTATCTCGTGTTCGTCCCTTTCTGACTGTTGAACCCAACAGTCTTTATAAGCACTTTTGTGCTGCACTTAAGCTGTTCAGAATCGGTCGACACATCTCAACAACCCAAGATCGACTACAGGATACAGAAAATCTTGCAGCAGTTGAATCTTGAGAATGGGTCATATTTCTTTCTAAAAGAAGGCGTGACCGAGAAAAGTGTCATGACTTCTTTGGAAACCGCATATATTTCCTCCTTTCTCATTAGATCGCCTATCTTCTGCCAAAAAGGCATGACGACAAAAGTAGGACACCCTAAAAAGTCCCAGTCTGTATAGCATTGACTTTCTAGTCTCCATCTGAAGAGGATACTATTTTCAAGTAAGCCTAGTGTGCGTTTGGGCGAAAACATACACACACACACCTACACTCACATAAAGGTACCATGACTAATATGCAAGGGAACCAACCAAATTATTCTATATCTTTCTATATATATCTATAGATTTTCGTATATTCATCATTCTGGTTAAAGCCGTACAGCCATCTTGATCTAAAATTGACTTTAGAATCTTGCTTTAGTGAATCCCACCTAAGAGCGTATTTGCCCGAAACGAGAGGGTGTTTTGGGGAGTGTGTCAATCTGAAAGTCGTATTCAAGGCAAACGGCTGTAGCCGTTGTCTTCTGGTGGGATCAATCTACCAATCTTGTACTCTCATACAAAAGGAAGGACTCCACATCAATGCTATCGTGTGGAATTTATCGAAACCCAACTAGTCCTTGCATCTACATGTGATTGTTGTGCGATGAAAGTATATACGAATAACCAGCAAGGAGAGCTAATTTTTGCTTTACTCCTTCATTTCCTGTACTCTATTGCGCTAATTTAATACTAGTTTGCTGGTTCCCATAGATTTTATGAGTTATTGGCACAAGATGGCTGTAAAAAATCATTGCTCATTTTCGTGCCTTGACTCTATGCTTTTTATATACATTATGGTATCTTCAATGGTGTCTGAATAGTCTCCCAATAATTCTTAATTGTATGCATAGTAAAAGGACCTAATTTTCAGTTTCTTTGTGCCATCTTCATGGGTCTCGGTTCGGCTCAAATCTGTTCGGGCTGCTGTGAGTTCAATTTATTATAACTGAACATCCTGTCACAAAGCCTAATGTTGCCTATTTCAAGAATTCTGTTATTTATTATAAGTTGTAATTAGTGCACCTTTTTACTTTCACCATTAGTCTCACTGTTGGTATGCATGTGCAGTAAATTTATTCATATAGTACGCTTATCACTATCTAGGACTTTCTGTTTATGTGGACAATATTGTTTGCTTATATGGTATACATTCGAATTAGTTTGCTGCTGATGCTGGAGCAGATAAGAAAGTTCAGCTTCAAGCCATTAAGGTTTAATAATCAGAAAAAGATTTGAATAGCTCTTTATTGTTCCACAGACAATAATATTAGTATGGCAGCTCCAACATTTTTTATTTTATTAAAGACTATTCAGCTAAGATTAGTCAAAACTCGATCAGTATTGAGATATTATTTTATGATATACAAAAGATTGCATGCATGGATAGATGTCTCGCCAAAGTAAGTAGTTGATATGTACATATAGATTTCTCATTTATTGCTTTTAGGTTAGAATTAGGACCAAATCTTATGAATGTGGACTGTCATTGATAGAGGAGGAGTGATTCGTAGCTTTATTATGAAAGGATTGCCCTGTAGTTGTAAGAACAAGTTCTGGATAACCTTCATCTAAACATATTTGCTGCAATTCCAATCACTTTACAGTTAAAGGTTCTGGCGAAATAAATGTATAATTCTGGAAAAGGAACACAGCCCATGGTGTTCATTTGTAGGAATTTAGATGAGTCGCAAGTATGCTTTTGGTCATGAAGGGAGACAAGGTGCTGGAGCAAGATAGACATAGTTGAACAAAGTGGCAGCATAAAGATTTATAGAATGAAGATCACTTTTATTTTTTTTAAAGAACAGTAAAAAGTCAAATGTTGTGTGAACATATTTACAAAGTGTGGCTATATCCTTTGACTTCCGGTGTTTAAAGATTGATAGTCTAGCAATAGTGTGAAAGCTACGATCTCTGTGCTGAGCTAAAGCAGAATCGTCTTATCTTGCCATGACAATTGCATGTTATGCAGCTGCATTCCGATCTCTTAGATGTTCATCTGCATTCATTTTTAAAGAATCCACATAAATGGAAGAAAAACAGTCCAGCTCATCCAATCAGATCACTTTCCACACCTATTCGCCAATAATGTATTCATCGAAATGCTTACAGGACAGCAGTGATTCAGCACATTTGGGCACAAGTTCGACGAGCGACAGGACAACTCCTTTTCATGAGATTTAAAGCTCTAGAATGCAGTTACATTATGTCATGAGTTGCCCCTAAAATGGGCTTGTCATCCGGGCTGAACTACAGCCTTAACCTCGCCCATTTTTCGTGGGAACCCTGAGGTATGTATATCAAATAACGGAGTTACCATCTCGCTAACCAGCCTCCGGTTATAGGGAGCCCCACAGGACAGATGTATCTTTCAAGTGAAGGAAGGCCTCTCCCAATTCACAACCAGTATAGGACTAGAATCAACTATCCGAGGTTTTATTTGCCATTGAGTTGAGGATACTACTCATTACCAAATAAGTAGGTTGCATAACTTTCAGTAGATCATGAATACCTAATGAAGATGTTAGATCGATTTCAAGAAGCTTGACTTGATTGGCTTTCTTATTCTGGATCTATTTAGGTCTAAATTGGAAGTCGGTTTTTTCAAGAAATTTGTTCATCTTAAATAATCAAAGGCCTGGTAGTTAAGCGATAAGCTATTAGTTTTGATTAAGAGTTTGTTTCACTTCACTCGACTCATTGCAAGGTATTGCTTCATGATAAAGAGGGCCCCTGTCCGGGCTTGTCTAAAAAACCCGAATAGAATTAAAGCTCGAGTCTTGTGGGTTAATGAGAATACTGTCTTACTAAGCTTGACCTCAAAATTTCAGAGACTCGGAGGTGAAATGCGAATTTCAAGACAAAATGGTCATTATTCTGCTCCATAATTTATGTTTCGAGGCTTTTGGATATTCTTGAATAAAGACGCAAGCAGCTTTGATCACTTAAGCTTATGTAAGAACTATCAATGAAGTCTTTCCCGCCATAAATTTTTCGCCTGCTTAACTAATAATACTTGAAGAAACACGAGGAAGATTAAATAACCTGCTTGTAGTAAAGGTTCAATTCTTCTGAATATCGTCTATTGCTTCAGATTTTGTTGCCAGGTTTTCCCAGCGTTATTTAGAATTCACACAGATTTGCTTACAAATATTCTATTTTGCTTGGTTTCTTCTTAAAAATGTCAAGAAGCCTTAATTCTCTTCCTTTCCAACCACTTTTATGATGTTTCTGCTGGACCATTTTCCCAAATTGTAGTGTACCCTTGTCTCCGTCACAACTATCGCTACGTCTGCTAGCTTATAGCTTTTGATAAACTCTACTTATTTTGAAGATATGAAGACCAAGATGTTGTGACCTTTGGTATGTTCGCAGTCGCCTTTTGATTTATAGAAATGGGTTGACCTCCTTGTCGCAACTTGGTCCTGTTTTCAGGGAGACTGTGTAGAACGCACCTAGTCCGAAGTCGTCTGCTATGGTAGGTGTCATGATTCCCAGCATCTGAGAATGTATCAAGTCCACTGTCAAATGCTGGGAATCATGACAACTACCATGGCAGACGACTTCGGACT